TCACCACTGCACCACCAGGGCTCCACTGATACATTTAGGCATCCCAAAACAGAGATTTAAAAGGTCTCTGTGTTCCATTCTTTGTGCCCTCTCCAGACACTCCATGAGAAAAACACCTGCTTAGACACAGAAGGATTTAAGAAGGGTTAGGGGGATCATCAGCATCATTTAATGGAGTCACAAGGAACTGCAGATCTGTGGCTGAGAATTGCCAACCCCTTCTGTCTGTGCCTCTCACAAAGACTTTGTAATTAGCTGCCCATTAGGCTCCACCTCATGGAGATCCTGTGTGTAACAGAGGGAAAATTTGCTCAGTCCTATGCCATCCTTGTGATCATTAATATGTCTCATTCCTGTTGGGCAATATCCTGTTCTGATCCATAAGGACATCACTGGCTAATTTTAGAAACAGATTGCCAGGCATTTCTTCCTAGTCTGTCTTAGTCTGGAACCCCCGCTGAAACCTGTCCAACTGGGTGACACTGCTGGTATTTGAAATAAGTGACATAGCTTCCAGCCATCACAGCAACATGTAAGCCACCACAGTACAACGAAGGGACAGATGGGTGGGGGCTCAGAGACTAAACCAAAACACAAACCAAACCCACTGCCGTTAAATCGATTCTGACTGATAGCAACCCTAAGGGCAGAGCAGAACTGCTCCATGGTGTTTCCAAGGCTGTAAATCTTTACGGAAGCAGACTGACATCATTTTACTGCACAGCAGCTGGTGGGTTCCAACCACCGACCGATCAGTTAGCAGCTGAATGCCTTAACCATTGCACCACCAGGGTCCCTTCAGAGACTAGGCCCCATAAAACAACACTTGTCCATAAACAGAAGGGCCTAAAAGGGGTAGGAATTGTATCATTGATACTAAACATTTGAACCATGTTTAAAACGGAAAATTTTCCATCTCCATGCAAAAAGAAAAAATAGTTTGGTTATTTTCCTCACCACTTGATGAGCACTGCCTAACAACGTACTATTCGGTGAACTATCAGAATATTTACACATGGTTATTGGCCAAGGAGCCCAATGGTGCAGTGCTGAAGCGCTCTGCTGCTAACTGAAAGGTCAGCGGTTAGAACCCACCTAACGCTACAGTAGAAAAGACTTGGAGATCTGTTCCCATAAAGATTACAGCCTAGGAAACCCTGTGGTGCAGTTCTACTCTGTCCTATACGGTCACTGAGTTGGAATGGACTCCACAGCACACAACACTGACCAAGGATATTCTGAGAGAGAAGAGCCCACCAACCCTCCTGAGCTCTACCGCCCACGTGCGCAGCCTTTGCCAACGCATATGCCTTGGTCTCCTCTGTATTATCAACTTAAATTGATCTCCAGTATATATTAAGTGCGAAAAAGTAAATTAATGTAAAGAAAACATGATAAATAACAAACATACGTTCATGTATGTATTTATGTATTCTGGGGGAGGGATATTTCTGAGAAACACTGAAAGGTTACACAGGAAACAAAATGGAAATGGTTAGCAAAGTGGTCGTGATATTAACAGAACACTGGTACTACAGGAGGAAGTCAGCCTTCTGAATACAGCTGTTCATACAGTCTTCAGTTTTGAACCATGTGAAAGTTTTATGTTAAAGGAATAATTCAAAATGAAAGCAAACCTTAAAAATTAAACATACACAGAAACAAGTAAACCTAATAACATGTATCAAACTGTCACTGCCCATCTGTGAGTCTGACATACTGTGATGGCTGGCAGGTTGCTGATACATGAAGCTATACCAACAGTATTTCAAATACCAGCAGGATCACCCACAGTGGACAAGCATTAGCAGAGCATACAGACTCCAACAGCCTAGGAAGAAAGACCTGGCAATCTACTTGAGAAAATCAGTCAATGAAAACCTTATGGATCAGAATAGAATGCTGTCTGATATAGTGCTGAAAGATGAGCCCTCTGGGTTGGAAGGCACTACTCAAACAGCAATTATCATGAAGATGGTGCAGAACTGGGCAACACTGTCCTGTTATGCAGGAGGTCAAGGAGCCCTGGTGGTCTAATGGTTTAGCACTTGGCTACTAATGAAATGGTTCACAGTTCAAACTCACCCAGCAGCTCCATGGGAGAAAGAGCTGGCAATCTGCTTCTGTAAAGATAATAGCCAAGAAAACCTTATGGGGTAATTCTACTCTTGTCACGTGGAGTTGCTAAGAATTGGAATTGACTCCATGGCACACAACAACATAAGTAAGTTCACCATGAGCTGGAGCCAACTCGATGGCAGGAAACAGTATCAAACTGATCACATAAGGATGCACAAGAATTTGTGCTCAAGCCAATGTTTAAGTACGGTAACCTTGTGTTTATATCCTTAATATAAACGTATAACCAGTATGTACAAAAACAAAGGCAAAAAACTCAGTATTTCAGCAAATTTTTTAGTCGGTTCTATTATTATGACATTGAAACTTTTCGCATTAGAAAGCAAGGTTTTTATTAAAAAAGCGAAAACTGCAAATATAACAGAAAGTGACAAGATTTGTCCATTTACTTTTATCCCATGAATGTTCCTTGCTTCAGCCTAATAAATCAGCCGTGAACAAACATTTCTGAAAACCATTAGAATTCTTACTTAAAACCCATCTTCCTGCCATGTTTCTGCTTGCCAACTTCAAATTAGTAAGTTTCCAGTGCCCCATGACACCCAGAACTCATAAAAACCCTCTTGCCTCACCTTACCCTTTGGAGTTGAACTCGGACTTATCCCGAGGTCTCTTTCCTGAATAAAGTCGTTTCCCTGTTTAACATTGTTCAGCACAATTTTGCATATTTAACATTGTCCGGCACTACTTCTTATACATATATACGTATATATATTAAAATCTTAAATTTGTTATTAGGAATAAGAGTATCAATTTGTGATGTAAGAGATTATGTATTTTACATGCTTACTAAAAGGCTGAGACAAATTGACTCAGTGGTAACAAGTTTTGGTTTATCACCAAGCGCATGTATTGCACACACCTAGGTTTTTAAAAGGAACCAGAGGTTTAGGGAGAAAGGGTTGATTCCAGATCTGGAACAGGAAAGTACAAAGTGATCCAGGGACTTCTTTTGCATTAAAACACTAATAAGGTTGTATCAACAATCTATCTGGTTGGTGAAACTAAGAAACTGAATAAACTCTAATTTTTATTAAATATAACAATAAACTTGATTCAATTATTGGAAAAGTATGCTTGGAGCAACCTGGAATTGTGATTCTACTTTTCAACAGTAACATTTATGAAACGTGCTGCTTCTGGATTCTGGAAGATGGAGTACTAAAGAAGAAAATATAAAATGTCTCATAAATTCTTATTCCTTAATTTAATTTATAATTTTTACCTTGACAATAAATGGACATATTGGGTTAAATAAGATTTTTCATTAAAAATTTCACATTTACATTTTCATGTGTCCAATATGGCTGCTAAAATATTTTAAATTACATTTTTTACGTGCATTACGTTTCTATTAGAACTGTGCAAGACTCAATGTCTGTATTACAAAAAATACTTAAGACTAATTAAACAAAATCATAACACAAATACAGTAAAACCTGTGAGAGCCAGAATGCGATGGGAGTGCCTTGTTTTACCAGGTCTTGCGTATTTTCCACCTTTTATTGGGTGCTTATCACTTTCCTTTTGCTCTCTATTAAGAATCCTACATCATAAACACCCACTGAGTTTTTCTTCTCTGACTGGTTTCTTACACAGGTGCTGGCTGTCACAGGTTAGACTGTATTCAGAATCCTGAACGTTTTAACATTTACAAGACAAGCAAAAGAATGTTCTGTGTAAGACAGATTAAGCAGATCTAGAAATAAAAAGTTAATGTGGAAATATGGTTTGGATCCTAACTTCAAAAAACCCAACAGTCAGATAATTTATGGACAACTGGAGAAATTTTCATTTGTTTTGAGGGACAATGAAGATCTGGGTTGTTCTGGTAGGAAACTGACCTTATTTGTAGGGGCTTAAAGGGTGAAGTGAATGTCTGCAA